GATCAGAAGGCCTCAACAACAGGACTGTGCTTCCATTATTCCCCTTTGTGGCTTATTGCTACAAAGGAAATGCCTTGGTGCTTTAGCCAAAGCAACAGGTGAGTTGTACCAGGTTTTTCTTTGGGTCCATCAACCAACTCCCAAATCATGACACGGAGACTTCTCATTAGTTGTGAATGCTCGGCCTAACTTAGGTTGTTTTCTGGCTAGCTCTTTTAATTCAAATTCACCTGTTCCTCTGCCTCAGGGTGTTTTACCTTCTTTCTTTCTTTATATATATATATATCTTACTTTTCTGCTCCCTCCAGTGTGTTTCTAGCGGCTGCCTGGCTAGCCCCAACCATCTCCCTTTCTTTCTCCCTCATTCTCTCCTTCTTCTTCTCTCCTGTTCTTCTTTAGAGTCCAGATCCCTCCTCTTATGTATTCTCTCTGCCTGCCAGTCCCACCTGTCCCTCTCCTGCCTAGCTATTGGCCATTCAGCTTTTTATTAGAATAATCAGGTGCCTTAGGCAGGCAAAGCGAAACAAACACAACACATCTCTACATAATTAAACACACATCCTTATGTCATTAAATAAATGCAGCATAAACAAAAGTAGCACACCTTTACACAGTTAAAGTAATATTCTGCAGCATAAACCAAGGTAACACATCTTTGCGTAGCTGAATAATATTCCACAACAGGGTGCAGTCTTCAGTCCCTCAGCCACACCTGCTTCCTGTGTCCAGTGCTGAAAACCTTCTACCTGGGCATGTGTTAAGATTCTAGTCTGTCCTTCTGGCCCCACTCACTCTACTGGATCCTTGCTCGCTACTAAGTGGGTAAATTGACTTTCAAACCACAACCTCTAGTCCTTGCTATTTTGTTGTTACACTCTCTCCTGTCCAGGTTCTTTTCTGAATGGGAGAAATGGGGGCATTTTCTTGCTACAGAGGCGACCAACCACCCCTGCTGTTCACATGAAAACCCTGATAAGTTCAGAAGGCTGTGAACAGAGGATGCTGAAAAACAGGTCTGTTGAGATGGTGGCTGAGCCCTGACAGGGCTGCCCCTGAAGTTGATTCCCATTAAAGGCGTGTCTCCCTTTATGGATGTTTTCCAAATTCATCTTGCACTTAATTCTCTTCACAACATGTGCACTTGCTGGGCACAAACTAACCAGGAAGATGCCAGAAGTGATGTTAAGTCCAGATAGAAAATTAAGTTGGCTCCATGCCAGGGAAGAGTTCTAATCACTTCATGGTAGAGAGAGGCATTAGAAGTCACTACTTTTAAATTTTGGTAAATCAATAAACAACATTAGCACAGAGACAAGCAGCCATCTTGGCAACCCAAGCTATAATATGTCTGACAGATAGAGGACAGGGATGAAGGGGTTAATAAGTAGCACCTAAAGAGATTCTCTCGCTCTCTGTGGTTAGAGTAAAACAAAAATGGTTCTGAAATGGGGAGAAGTGGTTAGCCCACAGTGTCTTATTTTCCACAGCTTCATACCCACTGTGCCATCAAAAGCACATCAAATCCCTTTTCTTGTCACTCACAAGAGTTTCATGGGCACATATGTTAGGTAGAAAGCCAGACTGAGTTCAGCACATAGATTTGACACATTGGCTAGCTGATCTTGAGAGAAATCTTACATCTTAACCTCATTGTGGAGGGATGATGGGGCAGTCTACCTCATAGGATTGCGGACAAAATTGAAGACATTAAAGCATGAAATATGACCCCCAGTGGCAGGCACATAGGTAGCACCGTGGATATGTTTGCTGTTATCATGATGCCTGCCATACCCTGTAGCAACAGATTCCTATCAATGTAGAAGTCCACAGTGTGTGTGTGTGTGTGTGTGTGTGTGTGTGTGTGTGTGTGTGTGTGTGCCTGCCATCATACAAGGGTTAGTATTAGGCTTTTCCTGACTTGGGAAGCCTGTAGACACTTTTGACTATCACAGCTTGAGTGCTGGTTGCTACATATATATAGTGGATGAATGTCGGAGCATTAGAATACATCCTACTAAAGACAAGAGAGCCCCACAACAGATGGCAATAGTTCTGAGATTTAGAGGTTCTCATGTGATACAGGGGGTGTCAAGCTTTTTCTGTTAAAAGTTCTACAATAAATGCATTTAGCTTTGTAGGTCCTGTAATGTGCATTGTAACTATATGACTTTGACACTGTAGCAAGGAAGCAGCCTACAGATAATACCTAAATGAGAGGGTATCAGTGTGTTAACAGTAAAACTTTATAAAAACAGATGGGAGGTCAGATTGGGCCTGAGGCCAGTATTCAGCAGATATCCATCTAATGCCATTCCTACTGTCCTGTCATCACCTACCTCACATGCTGCTCTTTACAGCTTCCCATTTTCTATTTGGTACAACCCAAGACCTTTTCCTTTTCCTCTCCTTGCCCTCTTTCCTCTCCTGTGAGAACCCACAGCACGATCATAGCACCTTCCCTGAAGAAGCCAAGCACATTCCACAGCTCCGCACAGTACTCTGCCCTGCCATAACCATCTACACCTCCCAGATGGGATCCCCTTGCTTCCTTCTTCCTTCCTCTCTTTCAGAGGTGTGTGCAATGACCATAAGGGTAATTAGAAAGACTTTACTAGTGTCTGAAGACATTGGATTATTCTCTTGGGGCAGGGAGGGGGCACCAGCTTTGCAAAGAAAAGAAGCAACTAGCTTCCGGAGACATTTCCAGTATGATTGACTTGGATCTAGTGATTAAAGTAGGTATTTGATTGAGAAGGTGGGTAGGGTAATATGGAGACTTGTCCCCAAATTTCCCATCTGAGAGTTAGAGCAGACCCATACCCTACTCCCATACCCATGTGGGAGTAGGCTTCATGTTCTATTCTGGACAGGGTTAATTTTAGATGCTTATAGCAAAGCCATGAACAGATATCCAGAGGCAGTTAGAGATGGTGGCATGAAAACAAGAAGAGAAGAGATGGTTGCAGATCACACTTTGGAAACAAGCATATGGACTAGAGTCAAGACTCTGGGACGGAGGAGAGCATGGGGGAAATGATGTAGTCTCATAATGGAAGTAAAGCAGTGACCCTGCAAAGCCCCAGGAGGAGAAAGGAAATGTAGAGAATCTCACTGAAAACAGGTACTTCTCTGATCCTCAAATGTGTAGACTTGTATTACTGTGAGAATGGAAGGAGGTCAAGGTATATATGCAAATTAATAAAAATGCAGGGGACGTGGGGGGGGATACATCTGTAGCCCTAGATATAGTAACAAAGAAACTTCCAAATGAATTTCTCACTCCTTCAAAGAAACTTGGCTCTGGGTCTAAACCCACACCCTATCCAAACTGAAATGTGTTTCAAAGTATCCAACCGATATTAATTCTACTTTTGGATCCTATGCTCAGAGGTGGTATTTCTTGACGGAACCTTAAGAGCTATTTGTTGCTCCTTATTTTTAAAAAGGGTATTTTGATTTAAGCAAGAACAAGGGCAGACGGAATAGCTCTCTGATAAAAGACATCAACATTCAGTATTAGGAGGCATAGGCCCAATGGAACTAAGTATTTATACAGACGTGCACGTTCTATTGTCTGTTCAAATGAGTCTAAAATGATCAGTTCCACATGTAAGGAACACTGGCTGTGACAGCCACTATCTCCTTAAAGCTGCAGGCTTTGCACAATGGGATTAGCATCAAGTCTAAATGTGTGAGATGTCTGCAATTACCCGGTTGACACTGCACCAGGGAAGAGGTCTTAAGTATTTAATAGGCTGAAACCCAGGTCAAAGGGGGAAAAAAAAGAGTATTCACCATTCACCCAGTTTTGACTTATCCTGATCTTTTACAGAGCTGAGTTTAAGGAAGTGAAATACATTTGCCACTATTTTGACTCACATAGGGTTATTAAGTGTGATGGAAGAAGAATACTGTGTGTGACAAGATGGTTCATTTTGGTGTTTATGGTTTGTGTTACTTTCTGAATGACTCTAGGCTTAGACATTCAATTTATTCTTATTTAGCAACTTTTTATCCAGCTGTCAAAGGCATTAGATCTAATCACTGCCACTTTCTTTGAAGAACAGTAACCTCCACTTGGTGATATTTTTCCGTCTCTTTCGGTGGTAGGGAAAGAGCCAATTAAGCTTCATCCTGCAGAGGTACAATGGCCAAACACACAAAACGCAAACCTAGCAACTCCATTAAAGTTTTGCATTCGCATCCTCTGGAAAGTGGAAGGGGAAGAGAATGCCAGTCACACCAGGTCTCCGAGGGTCACTTTCTCTTTTTAAATGAAGGGCACACGTGGCCCCCTGCCTCCAGTGTATTTCTTCTGCTTTCCTATGGAGAGCACAGAGAAGAGGAAGAGGAGAAAAGAAAGGAAGGGGTTAGCCTGGACCATAATTTTTGCCAGTAATGGACGAATAATGGCTCATTCCAGGAAGACAGAGAAAATGGGCTAAATTAGAAAACATTTCACAATGCTGGGCCTCAGTATCAAGTTGAGCCAAACTCAATCCAGCACAGCAATTTCCCACCTCCCAACTGTTTCTGCCTGTGCTCAAAGCTCCAATTATATCAGCCTGAATACTTTTTGTAAACTCCTGCTTCTCTTGCTTGCCTCCCCCTGCCCCCACCTTGAGCTCTCTCTGGCTCTAAAAGGGAGTGTTGACTGTCAGTGGATTTGGGCTTCCTTCCCTCCTTCAGCTTTCTTGAGCTGCCTCCCTTTCCTCCAGTTTCCTTTATTAAAAATGCTAATGCTACCATTTTCTGCCTGGATCTCCGACAAACACAGTCAAAAGGAGCCGAAGATGGGAGGGAACACGAGTGCAGAAATGATCTGAACCAAGGAGCAGCTTTTTATCTGGCTGTCCCTCCGTGGATGCTCCCAGCCTTCCCCTGAGGCTCACAGCAGTGCAAGCGCAGCAGGGGTTGGTTGGGGGGAGGAGGAGGAGGAAGAGGAGGAGGAGGAGGAGGAGGAGGAGGAAGAGGAGGAGGAGGAGGTTGGATTTTTTTTTTTCATTTTAAAATTAAAATCCCCTAAAAAGAGAAAATGCTGTCCTTGTAACTTTGGCAGGGACTTTCAGCTTTTGTTCTCTTTGTCAGAGCAGCAAATTTCATCTTCTCTTTTGGAGGGAGGAGAGGAAGAACAGCAGCATGCAGTATACCAGGTACCAAGAAGGACCCGGAGGAAGAGGAAGATGGGGAAGAACAATCAGAGGGATAAGGGAAGCCAAGTGTGAGTGTGAGGAGGTGGTGGCAGAAAAAAAAATACAGAGGGGAAAAAATAGAAAGGAGGTTGGAGAGGTCATAATAAATACAGAAGAGAGGAAAGAAGACTATGAAGAACTGGGTGGTTAAAGAACTATAAAAGCAGCCTACAGGAATGACTTAGGTAAATGCCCAGAGATCAGCTATTCCTATCCCTCATCCCTAGGTATGTTACACAGGACCTTGTCCATCATTCAGGCAATGCAGAGATGTGTATGACATCCATACTTCCCACATCATCTTATATCTACTTCAATAATTTTTCTGCCCTGTCTCATGACATTGTTATCATATGGATGTTACTAGAGCATGGACATATCTCATGTAAGTATGCTCACCAAATTGTATACCCTGTGTTTGTTCTTTTCGTCTCTCCCTGTAAACTAATACCTGCCCCCCCCTAGAATTAGTTTTGCTCCTCTTCCCCAATGTCCCTCATTTTTCTGCACTTCAGGTAATAAAATACGTTCCTTCTGCATCTGACTGTGAAAGCTGTAGAAGCCATTATGAGTGGTTGTCCAAAGCTGGGAAGAAAAAGTTCATTGAAGAGGAAATAAATGCACAAGCAGGCATCAGGGGACCTGATCCCAGATAATTCAGCATTAATCAGCTGTGTGACCAGCTGGATTAGTGGGAAGCCTGTTTTAGCTCTGACAGTCTTAAGACCTGATCTCCCTTAAGTCTGCCGGAGAGCAGCACACGGGGGGATGGGTTTCAGAGCCTCCCAGCCTTGAGCTCAAGTCTTGGCTTCAGGTGCTTCTAAGCCATGTAGTAATTTATTTGACCTTCTGATGGTGGCATCCCCAGAGGCAAGCTCTGGAGATAATGCTCACCTTCGTAGGGGAGCCTCAAGAAAAAGTAAAAAGAGATTCTCCAAGGTGACTCCCGGGTTTTCACAGCTTCCTTAGGCTGAAGAAAATAGCTACAAGTTTCATTTACTACAGAGTTAGTATTTATATCTACAACTTGGTAGCCATTAGGAAAAAGCAATAGCCATAAATTCAAAGTAGCCTATATAGCATCTGACACACACTGCTGTTTGCTTGATAATATAAAATACTTCACAATGGTCCTATAAAATGGCAATTGTGGCCCATGTGTAGGGCATGATATAAGACAGTGGTTCTCCACCTTCCTAACGCTGTGACTCTTTAATACAGGTCCCCATGTTGTGATGACCCCCAAGCATAAAATTATTTTCATTGCTACTTCATAACTGTAATTTTGCTGCTGTTATGAATCGTAATGTAAATATCTGTGCTTTTTGGTGGTCATAGGTGACACCTGTGATAGGGTCCTTCGACCTCCCATAGGGTCATGACCCACAAGTTGAGAACCACTAATTTAAGCAAAGTATGGGTAAAATTCCCTCTAAGGACAGAGTAGGTAGGCCTCCAACAAATGACAGCTATTTCTGCTACTAATGGTGATATTTCCTAGCATGTGAGCTGGACCTAAAGAACAGAATTAAAGTTGATCTCATCCAGATTAATTTCCTTCCCCATAGTGTTAAAAATATGGGTCTGAAGGACACAGGAAAAATTTAGAAGTCAAGTCCTGGCTGCCACCCTGCCTTGAATGGGTGTGTGTGTGTGTGTGTGTATGTGTGTGTGTATGTGTGTATATGTGTGTGTATGTGTGTATATGTGTGTGTATGTAATGTGTATATATTTTATTTGTATATTTCATATATATAAATATAGTGTGTTTATATATTTAATTTGTGGTATATTGTGTTTATATATTTATATATAGTGTGTTTTTATATATAGTGTTTATATAGTGTGTGTTTAGATATATAGTGTTTATACATAGTGGGTGTGTTTATTTATATATATCAAAAATTCCAAAGATAACCATTTTGAGTGAGAATTTTGCCTTGAATCTCATTAGAAACTGCCACCATGGGTCCAGTGTGCCTCCTGCCCTGAAGAAGCAGGCTAGATGAAGATTGGAAAGCCCTCCACTGGTTTGTACATACTCAGAGAACAAGAGAAACACCTGCCTCCTTCCCTCCCTCTTGGGATTTGCCATCTCTCCTGAGATGAGATCTGCAGTCCTTGCTGAGTGTTACTTGGGTGGAGGCTGCTAAAGGGGGAGTGTCTCAGAAGGATAAAGAGACCCCTGCTACTCTTCCCTTCAGAAGAGCGCAGTGAGGTCCTGAGACTACAGACATCAGCTCTGTCATTCATTCTGATTTAATGCTTACCCAGCACGGATGTGGGAAGAATTGTACCTCACCTGAAATCCAGATGCTGAAGCCCTAAATCCCTTTGTGACAAGCTAGAGTGAAGGCTTTTAAAGAGGTGGCTAAAATGAAAGAGGAATAGAGGGTGGAACTCTTACTCAGCAGGACTGGTGTCCTTATAAGAAGAGGAAGGGTGGTCCCGGAGCTCCTTTTACTGTATAAAGACAAAGAGAGTGTGTCCACCTGAAAGTCAGCCATGGCTAACTGAAGCACACTCCACCCTGCGCCTTGTAGCCTCTTCAACTGTGAACAAATAATTTCTGATGTATGTTCAATAATGCATTTAGATCATATCTACACCCACTCCTCCTTGGATTCCTTCTAGATCACCTGCAGCCATGTCTCCTTCATTTCCTCCTTTTGAAAAATTCATTGAATCCAATGAGTGCTGTTCAAAGCTCCTGGGGGTAGGGCTACCCACTGTAGCATGGGCCACCTACCAGGGGCCACTTCCCTGAAGAAAACTGGCAATCTCTACTCCAGCAACCTTTAATTGACAGTTATCCTCATCTAGGCCTAGGTCATTGTGATCACCTCTCTCCATGATGGGATGTTGTCATTTTGTGCAGACAACCACAGTTGCTGGAAGTTCATGAGTACAACAGTGTCCAGAAGACAGTTTGACATCATTCCTCCCAACCTTTGGATCTTACAGTCTTTCTAACCTCTCTTCCCTTCCTCAATGTTCGCTAAGATGGTGGGCAGGAATGGGTTTGTTGTTGTTGTTGTTGGTTTTATTTATTTATTTATTTATTTATTTTGTTTTAGGCAGGTATCTCTGTAGCCCAGGCTGGCCATGGTTTCTTTCCTGGTAATCCTCCTCCTTCTGCTTCCTGTGTCAAATTATAAGGATAAGCCACCACATCCAGCCTAAGCTTTTGTTACAGTAACTGCAGGTGACTAATACAAGCACTTGTTGTCTACAACCAACCAGGAAGTCTATATCACATGCATAGCACAGAACCAAGAAGGAACAGACCATGTCCGTAAGACATTTGGAGTCCTGTGGGAAGACCGACAAGAATACTGGCCTGAGCTCTCGTCATGTGGTCATGTGGTCATGTGTAAGTGCTGCCGTGCTCCAGGGAAGAGTCTTTTAAACTGTGACAGTGGCGACAGGAGAACAGAAACGAGTATTCTGGGAAAGCTCTGTGGGATGAGTTAGAGGTGACTGGGAACAGGATGATCTGTATCCAAAGCTCCGTTTCCCCCACCCTGCATCTTGTAGCTGTTCCAGGGACATTCTCTTTCCAGAAATCCGTCTTCTACAACGTTTAGCTGTATCTGTGCTACAGATGCACTCTCAAGTGGCCTAAGCTAAGCTGCAGGGGGCTTTATTAGATCCCATTTGCCACAGGGTGAGCCTTTGTCCCATCTGTATTAGGGTTCTATTAATTGTATGTGGGGTGCAGCAAGAGCACTGTGTTCTATTCATTCATATATATATATATATATATATATATATATATATATATATATGTCACTGTTCAGGTGTTTATCATATTAATTTATTCATCTCAACTCACCCATTCATTGGTTTCACATATTTAAAAGCTAGCTTCTAACTTCCTTGTACCCCTTTCATAAACCTTGTACTTTATGCATATTACACCTGGATCTGTGACAACTGTGGATTTCATCATCGATTCCTCACTTGAGACTGATCCCTATCAGTGACTCATGTACATGTGAGGTGTGTGTGTGTGCGTGTGTGTGTGTGTGTGTGTGTGTGTGTATGTGCATGTGTGTGTTTGTGTTTGAGTGTATGGGTCTCTGTGTATGAGTGTGTAGGAAAGAGAGAGATATAAAGAGATAAAGAGACACAGAGAGAAGAAAAACAGAGCCAGGGAGACAAAGAGAGAGAGAGACAGAGAAGGAGAGAGAGAGAGAGACAGAGAGAGAGAGAGAGCACACAACTCAGCTTCATGCACTCTGATATGCATGGGAATTGAGTTAACAACTCCTGTGAAATTAGGAGACTGGCAAGGAAAAAAATAAATAAATAAATCCCCATTCCTGCCAACCCTTCACCAAACATGGACTGTTCAGAAGTCCAGATTTCCACAAGCCTTGTACCTTGACTTCCCTACTCCCTACAAAACTCAAATTGAAATGCAATTACCTTTGTGATGGTTATAAGAGGTAGTGCCTGTAGACGAGCTTACTTAGGTCAGTGGTTCTCAACCTTCATAATACTGTGAACCCTCAATATAGTTCTTCATGTTGCGATGACCCCCCAACCATAACATTATTTTCATTGCCACTTAATAGTTGTAATTTGCCTACTGTTATGAACTGTAATGTAAATATTTGTAGAGACAGAGATTTGCCAAGGGGGTCTCGACCCATGGGGTTGAGAACCACTGGCTTAGGTAATGAAGGTCATTTATGTTCTCATAGGAGTGGGTAAGTTTTCACAAGAAGATTTCTTATAAATATGATTTGGCTTCGTTTTTCTGTCTCTGAAGCATATGTGGTCACTTGTCCTTTCTTCTGTGTTATGCCACAGTATAGAGTCCCTCACCAGATGCTAGCATATGCTTTTAGACTTCTCAGCTCCAGAACTAAAAAAACCTTCTCTGGTTTATAAATGACCTAGTCTATGGTATTGTCAAGGCAGGGGGAAATTGACTAAGAATAGAACAGGTGTTGATATAGCAAACATTTGAAATAAGTGCCTTTGGAAATTGACAATGTGAAAAGCATAGATGAATTGTAAGGACTACACAGAGCAACCTTATATTTGCATGACTGCAGCATTAAGAGTGATTCTGGCCGGGCGGTGGTGGCGCACGCCTTTAATCCCAGCACTCGGGAGGCAGAGCCAGGTGGATCTCTGTGAGTTCGAGGCCAGCCTGGGCTACCAAGCGAGTCCCAGGAAAGGTGCAAAGCTACACAGAGAAACCCTGTCTCGAAAAACGAAAAAAAAAAAAAAAAAAAGAGTGATTCTGATGAAGGAGGACTCAGAAGATCAAAGCTACAGTAAAGTCATTTGGAGGTTCCTCAATAGTTGTGACTGGATTGTTGATAGAGACAGTGAAGGCCATTCTTATGAGATGTGCACTAGTCCAGAAGAGACAACATGCATGGGTGCCTCACTCTATGACAGCCTACTCTTTCCAGGTCGTAGTCAGTCTGTAACACCAGCAAGATCCCTTTCCTTATGACCTGACCGTCTTGCAACAGTTCCCGCCTCTTAAGATTTCACTACTTAACACTGCAACAATGGGGTAAAATTCCAAGCACATGAACCTCTATGGAGTCAACTACACCCAAACATAACAAAGTCTCTGCAGGGGGCTGGGGGTGAGCTATCAAAAGATGAAGTAAAAGCCATCTTTGTTACACAATTGCAAAGAACTTGATAAAGTTCTGTCTATGTCCCATATGGAGCTTTATGGAAAGCAAAACTCAGGAGTGATGAATCAGGATACGTGGTTCCTCAGGCATTCAAACTGCTATGTTAACATGGTTACTTTAGACACATATAATGAGATCAAGAACAGAGAGATGATTTAAAGGTGTACAATTAAAATTAGATTAGGAAATTTGGAACCTGACTTTCTATGGGTAAAAAAAAAAAAAAATATGTATGGGAAAAAATACTGGTGCTGCAGACCTGCCCCCAAATGAAGGACGACCATAGGAAAAAGAGATTAAAGCACCAACCCCCCACTCCCTCCACTGTCTAACAGGCCCAGAGATCTAGAAGGGTAGAATGGTTTCTGGAGAGAAAATCTAGAGACCTTCTATGGGCTCAATGCCTGGAGCCTCCTGGGGCCTGTGCTCTCCAATCTAGCACAGTGTTCCTAAGTCACATCTTAACTGACCCCAGGTACAAACTAACCTGTATCACTCTGGCTGTTGATCTAGAAGGTAGAACTGGCAAACCTTGGCAAAGTCCACATCTTCATAGGTCTTCAGGTTTCCAGAATGTAAGAGCTAGAAGAGCATAGTTATCCTGGGTAAGATCCAAAGGATGCTAATGAGGAGGATGTCCAGACAAACACTTGCCAAAGATTGCAAGAAGCTCCTGCATAGTGAAACTATTGAGATGATGCCACACTAAAAACCCTAGAATGGCAAAGTTATGAGCATGAAGTGTCAGCCTAGGACAGCCACAGGAATGAGACTTCAACCCTAGAGAAATAGGTCTTAGACATAAAGACAGAAGAGTGAGAGGGTTGGGAGTCAAGTCCAGTGTGTCCTGTTGTAAAACATGGGGTTGAAGAATACCTTTCTGCTTTAAACTCAATGTTTTCCCTGTTAGGTTTTGGGATTCCTTGGGACCAGTTACCCCTATTTTCTTGCCTATTGCTTTCTTTTGGAATATAAATGGCTACTCTGTTCCTATCCTGCCACTGCATTCTGGAAGCAGAAAGTTTGAAATCATAGGCTCACAGCTAGCAGGAATGTGCTTCAGGATGAATCATGCTTATGTGTTATCTACATCTAGCTTAGATGAAACTCTGCACTTTGGACTTTAAACTTTATGTTGGGATGAATTGAAAATTTGGGGCTATCAGGTGAAATGAATCTGCTTTGTATGTGAGAAAAACACAAGTTTGAGGGGACCAGTGATGGCTTGCTGTGGTTTGGAATGTCCCCTTTAAAATTCTGCTGAAATTTAATCACTGTCTTAAAAATATTAAGAGTCTATCTACCTAAACATATTTGACTTATGGATGAATGTTATCTCAGAAATGGGTAAGTTATCTCTAGAGCACTGGTTCTCAGCCTTCCTTTAATATAGTTTCTCAAGTTGTGGCCATAAAATTATTTTCATTGCTACTTCGTAACTAATTTTGCTACTGTTATGAATCATAATGTAAATATCCATGTTTTCTGATGGTCTTAGGTGACCCCTGTGAAAGGATTGTTTGACTCCCCAAGGATGTCACAACCCACAGGTTGATAGCCACTGCTCTAGAGCGGGATTGCTATAAAAGTGAGTTGCCTTATCTGTGCTGTCTTATTTGTGGTTGCCTGCTCCCCTGTCATGGCACATGTAGCCATTGCCCAATGCTAATACCTTTGGACTTCACAGACTCCAGAGCTAAGTCAACTTCTATTGCTTGCAAATGACCTATTCTATGCTATTTTGCTGTACACAAAAATGCATTTAAGAGCCTTTGTATATTATATAGCATATATCCAAAATGGTCTTCATACAATGCTTTAGCTAGGTAAATAGGTGATGACCTTGCTTTTGATTTTCCTTCTGGCCAATCACAGCTGCCTTGCCCCTTCACCCACATTGCTCTTGGATTACATCTTCATCTATAAGTTGTTTCTAGGGTCCTTAAGGGAAGACAGCCTCACACAGGTAATTTTACACTTAAGAATGGTTAATAGTGCACATGAGTTTATGTAGAGGGGGCTGATATTACATGCAACTAGTAGAAATTATACTTTGAATTTTGAGTTTTGGATTTTTATCTGGTTAGTAATGCCAAATATTATTTTCTCTAGTGATGTTGGACAAAGTCACAGTTCCCAGTCAAGCCACACAGTTGCCAGGTGACTCAGTAATACTCTCCAATGCTAAGCAACTAAGTTCATAGGTTCTTGTCTGTTAAGTAAATATTTGGATGAGGGACGGAGGGGTTTGCAGGATTTAACTATGTAGTCCAGGCTTACTCTGCATTCAAAAAATTCCCACTTCATTCTCCTAAGTATTGGGTTTATATGTGTGAGCCACCACACCAGACTAAATACATTTTGACCTATGGCATTTTCAGCATATGATAAATTTATTGGGATGTATCTCCAATATTAATTGAGAATAATTTATCCAGTTACAAATTGCAGATGGACCTTGACAGTACCTACTTATAAGTTTGTTATAGAGACTAAGTGAATTAAGAGCTTTGTACAAGGTCTACCATATACCATAAGCCCTGAATGATGGCTAGTTGTTATTATTCATCCTTTTCTCCCAGGTACCTAAGACAATACCTGAGATGCCAGTAAGGGTTTTTTAAGTGACTGAATAATAAAACACTGATTTCTCCTTAGGAGACAAAAGAGATTAAACACTAGGTATCATGTAGAGGTTTGCTAGAACTTGCATGCTTAACCTCAAGTGCAACCATTCATTTATTCACTCCATGAACAGTCATTTGGTGCTTAGTAGTAATGAATGTGACAGCAAACACCACAGAGTTATAAAAATGAAAATGACATAAACCTGAACTTGCAATTTGGTATAGCAGGGGCATGAGGAGATAGACACACGGATGATTATAGTTAGCAGATTATTGTAATTATCATTTGAAACCAATAACATATCTGCTACTGTGTATAGCAGGATAGCAGGAAAGGCAGAGGGATTCTTCAAGACTGGATAGCATTGGTGAGCATTGCAGAAAGAGCCACATCAATATAGACTTAAACACTAATAAGATGCTTGGTTATCCAGATGAAGAGTATAAGAGAATGCTTCCAAAACAATACACATCTGCAGACAGAAGTAATAGAGACATGGACATAGCATGGTGTACATGCAGCCTCTGCAAAAGCCTCACTGACATCTCATCTCAGGCAGAGAGTGATTGGAGTAAAAGGGATGGAGGGCTTGACAGAAACTTGGACAGAGAGCGCTTGTAACTCATCTTTGACAGCTTCTCATTGCTTTTCTGTAGGGCCACAAAGACAACTGATGAGTCTGAGGCAGAGTGTGAAATGGGTAGATCTTAATGATAAATCCTTTTGGTGGCTGCAGGGGAAGGACATGGGAAATAATTAAGGATGTGGGAGCCAGATTAGCCTGTCAAATGACACAAGGAGAGATAAAGCTCCTTCCTGGACAGTTGTGGTCATATAGATCAGTTTATGCGCATGCGTGAGAGGTCCACAGAATGAACACAAGGGGAGATCTGGGGGTGCTCGATGGCAAACTTCAAGAGGGCATCTCAGAGACCTGGACTCTATGCCAGTCTCTTTCCCTTAAGAATTCTATAATGGAGTGTGACCATGGGTCTTCCAAAGAAAGATCAGGGTAGGCTGGCTTGATAAACATTATTTTATTCACATTAGCTAAATAGTTTCAAAGGGGGCTCAAGAAACAGATTCGAAATAAAGATGTTTCCGATGTCCTCAATAAATAAAAAGTAAAACTCAAAGTAATATATATATATATATATATATATATATATATATATATATATATATATATCAGCAAACAAACAAACCAAAAAAGAAAAACACCAGGAACAAGAACAAACAAAACAACAATAACACAATAACAACAAAGACAAAAGCAAAAAGCAAACTAGGGCCCTACTAATCCTCTTATTCACACACACACACACACACACACACACACACAGAGAGAGAGAGAGAGAGAGAGAGAGAGCAGTTATTTTTCAGCTTTACAGCTTATAGTGATTATCAATTATATTTTCAGTATCTATATCCTCAGAAACATTTATTTTTCTTGTTAACCCCTATCTCATAGTGCCTTAGGTTACCAACTCAAACTCCAATCATGCTCTACATTTTATATTCCAGGCCATTGTAAATTTATTTTCTAAATTGGTTGAAGATAGCAAGGATGGGGAGAAATCCTGAGATAACATCATCATCTTCTCCCTGAGCTTCAGTTCAAAGGATTTGTGAATCAGGACCCAGAAAACAGTAGACTTAATGCATGTATAGGCTCCTCTCCTTCCCCTCCCCCAATCCTCTAGTGCACAAGGGTGCAGCAGGGAGTGCTGGGAAACAGAGTCTTTGATGATGCGCCTTCCCTGCTGTGAAGACTAATGACTTCAAAGAGGGCATCTGCCATGCTGGGGGCTTCCGTGGAACATCTGACTGCAGTGTAATTAGGCAAGAGGCCCAAGTTTAGGATATTGTGTCCAACAACACCCTCCCCTGCCCAGTGCAAAGCACAATTCGGGCAAGAGTAAGACAAGGCTTTTGAAGAACAGGAGTATCTTTGAAGCTAGCAGAGGGGAAAACAAAAGTCAAAAACCAAACTAAATAAAACCCAGGCTGCCTGTGGACTGCTAAGCAGTGGCTGGAGTTCAAAGGTTTTGAACAGTGGAAGTAAGGCCTCTCTTCTTAAAAACCGTTTCCCTAGCAAGTGTTATGTCTGTTGCTAGCTAGAGTCCTTTGTTCTGAAAAAAAGAACTGTCTAATTGTATTTTCACTGGTGTTACCAACCATCTCCAGGAGCCTATGCCCTTGCCTTCCATGATTCTGTCATTTACAGCCAGCCTCCAGGTTCTCCAACCTGAGAAGAATTGCACCTGTACTGAACCCGTGGAGACATTTCCTTCTCATTGTTTCCTGAGCGACACAGCACAGAACTGTTTACTGAGTGTTTACAATGTATTTGGTTCCTAGAAGTAAGCTAGGGGTAATTTAAAGAATCCAGGAAGATGCTCATAGGTCAAATGCAAACGTCACAGGGGCACAAACCTTCCTGGATTTTGAGTGTAGGAGGGGTTACTGGAGCCAGTCATCTGTGAAGACTGAGTGATGACTTCATTTCTAACTGGGCCTCTGAAATAGTTACTATTAATGAATGACTCTACTTCATAGGAGAGGAAGTGAAGATGCAGAGAGCTCAGGGATTTGCTCAAGGGAAGGAGGTAGTTAACAAGGGGTAGAGCCGGGAATTGGACCCAGATGATCTGTAGAGTCTTACCTCTTAGGTTCCTCTGGCACAGTTCTATAGAAACTAAAACTTCCTGTCTCTGAAATGAACTAGATCACAGAGGGCTTCTGGGTCATTAAAGGGTGGATAGCAAAGAAGAAATCCCTAGTAGAAGTGATGTGTTACAAGCAAAGTCAAGACAGTCCCCACTTCATGACCCTCACATAAACATCTATCCTGTGACTCCATATCTCATAATATTAGAAAACTCACTAGAAGCCATTATTTAATTTTTTATTGGACACCCATTGTGTATAGCTGAGAAAGATGCTCAAAAATGCACCCTTGTTCCAAAAGCCTTATTAATTAACAGGGTGTCAAGACAAGATAGTACAGGACACAAAGTGGCACAAGAAAGTCACAAGCCTGAATCAACCAAAGTTGGAGGTAGCTTCCAAATGGGGATCTGGGAAGGTTTTATGGTGGAGCAGTTATTTGGGCTGGCCTTGCAAAAAAAGGTAGAATAAGGGAACTAGAAGTGAAGAAATGTCCCAGAGAAGTCTGGCATGAACACATGGTTCCGTAGGGCTGCAAAGGATGCTGGGTCTACTTTGAGGGGAACTGCTTCGGGAGACCTATCTGAATACTTCTATGGTGGTCATAGTCATCCCCAGACCTCACAGAGAGCCTGTGACCAGACTTCTGAGGTCCTCCCACCTCCTTCTACTCTTGCCGTGGGATCTCATGGAAGGTATGCGTCCCCTTGTGTCCTGCCTTCCTCACCCCCAAAATTTGCTGAGGAACTGGTGTGCATATCCATAAGCACTTTAAATAATGCCTGTGACCAAGAAAGCACTTAGTAAACATGGCCTGTTACTGCCTAAACTAGGTGTCAGACATAACAACTAGAATAGTTCATCACTTAGAAGGATGTACCTGACATGTGGTCTCTCTTCCTCACTTGTATGGACCATGGGACACTGCAATGATTTCTTCAAATGTACTTTGCTGATGTCTGAAGCAGTTTAGTTCTCCATGTTAAAGTCTACCTTTTCATCATGTGATTTTTTTTTTCTCCAAATCCAAACACTCCCAGGACCTAGCAGGAAAACCCCAATTGGTGACCTCAAGCCTAGACAAAGAGCTCCAGGCAATGAAGGAATGCTGAGAAATCATTTCTTCTGGGAAGAATCCCTCTATTGGTTATCCAATACCAATTATCAGTCCTAAAAATATATACATATAAGTAATAGTATATGGGCTGTACTTATATATTTAGGAACAGATAGACATAAACTATATATATATATATATATATATATATATATATATATTTATTTATATATGCTGATTAAAGAAAAAGAAACCATGAATTTCATTAATTTGAGAGAGAGCAAGGTGGGGGGTGTCACATAGGAAGGGTTGGATAGGAAATGTAAGATGGGATACTGTAATTATAATATAATTTCAAAAGCTAAAAATTATAATTAAAAAAGAAAATAAAAACATACTGCTAACTAATCTAACTGATTTGTTTTAAAGCCAGTGTACATCTATAACCTTATCCCAGGTGACGCAGAGACAGGCAGATCCCTGAAGTTCACTAGCTCGACTCAGCCTAGCAGAATTAGTGAACTTCAGGCTCAGTGAGAGACTCTGACTCAAAAAACTAAGGTGGAGAATGACTGAGGAAAACATGTGATTCAGAACTCTAGCCTCCACATACACATGTATACCTTATACATTTCACACACATGTACACACACACACACACACACACACACACACACACACACACACACAGGAGGGGAGAAAGAGAGAGAATAGTTGGAAGATTTAAGCATTTTGAGGGGAAAAGTCTGGAAACATTTATCTGTACACAATGATCTGAAACATCAGAAAAATTAAGATCCAGTCAGCCCACACCTGACGATGTTATTTTTTCTCAGGCATCCACCCTACACTGTACAAACGTTCAGCACAGTTTTGTAATCTGCATCAAGCTACCATAGCAATTAGCAGCGGGGCACAGGAGGAAGGCAGTCACTCCTCTTCGAAAGGACAGAACTGACCACACGGGTGAAAGTCACGCGGAAACACATTTTTATTCAGCCCAAAGATCTGTTTAAGAATCCACATTGCAACAGTAGAGTGAGCTGCCTCATCAAATCCCATTGTGGCTGTCACTAACAATGTTCAAACAGTGTTTGGAAGCCCATCTGCTCCATAGACTGCAAGGGGGGGGGGCGTCTATGCAGAGTGGCACAATGGATAATGTGACCTTGAGGTGGACTTCTGACTCGAAGCTTCTAGATTTGTCAGTGATCCAGCTGATACACTCCTGCTCTCATGCCTAAAATTAGGTATGTGACTCACCACTTCCATGAGAGAAGCTCAAATTTAATAAGGTTTTATATAAGACCTGTAGCTACCTTTAGAAAACAGAGGTCTGATTATGTCTTTCCCAAACCACATGAAAACTTGATAATCCTCAATCAGACACCAGCCCAGGAAGGATTTCTTAAGATGGGCACACCTTTTCACTTATTTGACAGATATTGACTGAGTTCCCACTATGATGCTGACAGTATGTGCAGATATGAGAGTGAAAGGACACAGGCGACACTGCTTTTCCTGTGGTGTAATTTACATTCTGGTGGTAGGTTCGGCTAGACTCCCCTACCAAACTGACATGAAAATTGCACCATTTGGTGAAAGATCATAGGAGGACAAATTGGGTCACAACTGATGCTAAACAAGATTGGTGAGGACACACACTGTGTACTGATACAGAACTTACAAGCTTAAAATACCACTGAATACAACACATCTTCTTTAGGTTTTCTCAATAATCCTTATGATAATTTTATTAAACAGATACTATTATTTTATTGTTAATTACAATGAAATCAAAGCTTGTAAAAGTCATAACATTAGCCAAAAGCAAAGGTCTTTTTAAGTAAAAGAAAGATTTGAGCTTATGTCTGTCATACTCTGCCTCTTCCATTATGTTATACTATGTCTCATAAAGGTTAAATGTAAACAGGTGAGGGCTGTGGATGGTGCTCAGTGGTAGGGTGCTTGCCTAGCCTGCGAGAGGTTCTGAATTTAATGCCCAGCACCTAAAGTAAAATAATAAAATGGGTGGGTAAACATTAACCTAAGTAGTGCAGTTTGTTAGGTAACAGGAAATAATTTGAGCAAAATTGAGTGGAATCTGTTAAGAATATCCAAGACTATGCCTGAGAGAAAAACTTCTGAATATGTCCCAGATGACCTGGTCCCTAAGTCAGGTAGCATGGGTAAAATGGGTAAGCCTGTCTTTCAGATATGAACAATATATTACTCACTCATGACTCACTGGGCAAGGGCTATGAAATTTGCCCACAGCAAAGACCTATCCAAGTGCTCCATTCACTCTTATTTGTGTCAGGAGGTGGGCAACTGTGGACCTCTGGATGGAGTCCTGCTATATGTGGTGCAAGCACTCTGCTAAGATGAGTCACTGTGGCTGAATGCTGGCCACGATTTTCC